GAGTCTTAAACTCGTGGTCTAGAAGACGCCAGCAGGCTTCAGTATTGGCACACAGCCAACTTGTAGCATTATTTGCATATATTCAAAATTTAAAATATTTCTGATTTGCTAGATTTTTTTTGGTCATCAAAATAATAAAACCGCATGAGAATATTACTAACGCATTTATAGTGTTTGGAAACATATAAATTAATTTTGTGAAAATTCTTTCGACTTATCAAGTGCAACAAAATTTTAAATAAAAGACTAATAAATCACATAAGAACTAAACTGCATATAACTGAATATCATATAAGGGGTAAAAAGTCAACATCGAATTATTATAAATTATTTATTAACTGACCCCTCAAGAAAAGTGAAAAATGATCTCAAAAAGCGCAAATTTTGAAATCAAATACCTCGATCATTTTTTGTCGTACGAGAATGAAACTTTTAGTGTTTTAGTTATTTTAAATAAGTATAAAATTTTCCTAAATATAAGCACAAGGACTAGAGGGAGTGACGCAAAAAGAGTTGGATTTTATAATTTTTACAACTCCTTTTTAGTTTTGACATTTTAGTCAAAAAATTAATATTTGTGACATTTGAATCATTTTTGTAATCTGAAGCATATATCTTTATGATCAACGGTTGCAAACACAAAGGTCCGTTAAGGACTTCCGTGGACATCTTGCAAAATACTACTTATTTATCCGAACTAAATAATGCAGAGACATTTCGGATAACACATCAGCCACAGCTCCTGGTAACTAAACAGAAACAGTCAAATTTAAGTTAAACTTGTAACAGTAGTTAAAGACCACATCAAAGCTGGCAGGAACTAAACGCAGCGTGCACGCGCAGCCAGAAACACGCTCCCTCTTCCAAAAACCCCATTTTAAATACTACCTAACTCATTCATATTCTGGTGAGGAAAACGAAAAGCAGAACTAAAAGGAAAATTAAAAATTTAATAGCTGCGCCATTTGAAACATTTTTGTAATTTGAAGCATATATGTTTATGATCAACGGTTGCAAAAACGAAAGCCCTGTAAGGACTTCCGTGGACACCTTGCAAAATATTACTTAGAAGTACAAAACTACTCATTTATCCGAACTAAACAGAGCAGAGACATTTCGGATAACACTTCTTCCAATACGCCACGATACGTATTTTCGACAATTAAAGATGCAAATAAAGCAGCAGTATATAGGGCCATTGTATGGCCATATATGGCCAAGATTGTTGGATCTTTCACGCTGTGTTTTCTGTGGCACAATAAAAGACTTATATTATGATCGTCACAAGGATATTACGATCATTAAGGATATTACTATCGTCACAAGTTACCTACAGCGGTGTAGGAGCTCGATCCTGTCATTCGGGAGTCATACTTGTGTGCATCAAGTAGATTAAGTAGGAAATATATTACTAAGGCAGGAAATGCTTCGTTTCATGGAACAAAAGATAACGGAAAGGAACTGATGCTCCCAAATATTTGCCACACTTCGCGGAAAACATGACAGAATGTCTAACGCATTTAAGGCAGGTGCGACATGCTGCTACATCCACGTTGTAGTCCAAATTTAGACGAATAGCAATGAAAACAGCCTTGAGCAAAACTGAAAACACGAATAAAAGGTTCCGTCATCAATTCTGTTTGAGAATGTATGGGGTTTTACTTTATGGAACTAATAACACCAACTACAAGTCATAAGGTTTCAATAACCTTGTTTATTAAACAGAAATTAGAACATAACTCACTTTCCTAAGCTAATAATATCATCCACAGCTCGTGGCAACAAACTAGAAACAGTCAAATTTAAGTTAAACTTGTTACAGTAGTCAAAGACCACACAAACGTCTTACTCAAAGCTGGCTGAATAATTTTACGCAAGCGTTAAAATGAACATGTCAGCAGCGACATAACGCAAAACCGAATACTTACGACTATCAAAGTTGGTAAGAACTAAATGCAGTATGCACGCGCAGCCAGAAATACGCTCTCTCTTCCAAAAACCTTAATTTAAATACTACTTAACTCATTCATATTCTGGTGAAGAAATAGGAAAACAGAACCAAACAAAAAGCACCTTTACTATAAAGGTCTAAATCACAAAACCCTAGTTAATTTAAATAACACAACCGTACAAATGAAGAGGTGTTAAATCTAACACCGTCTTTGCAAAGGAGTGAAAAATCCCCATAATACAAAATGCTCCTAAGATGTCCTGTTTAAGTGGCAGGGTTCTATGACATGCTGAGGGTATCTTGAGGACTTTGGGTCTCGTATATCCTGAAGACTTCCTAATTTAAAACCTCGAAACAGTCTTGTTTAAGTATCTCTGTCGCGGGATATGCGAAGATGTCCTCATACTGTTAATTCTCATATGTCTTGAGACTTCGTTACCATGAGAAAAATGCCTAGAAAATATCTGTACTGCATTTTACACTGTCGTCAAATACTTTGAAGATGTCCATTCTAGTTTTTTTTTTTTTTTTTAGTAATTTCAGTTTGCTAAAAGATATCCTTGGGGTACACATGGATGTGACATTAAACACTCGGTATGATGCATTAGATAATTATTCCGTAATATACTGAGGATATAGAAAATATAACTTCAAATCCTTAAAACGTCAATTATTCCAAAATATACTGAGGATATAGAAAATATGACTTCAGATCCTCAAAACATCCTGTGTATTATGCCTGTGATCTATTGAGAGCATCCTTGGGATATACTGGGAGGTGATATTAAGAAATCGGGAGGATATTTTAGGTGAGACGTCTTGAGAACGTAGCAAGTATGACTTTAAATCCTCACAATATCCCACACATTGTCGATGGGATCTAGCAAGGATATGTTGGGTAGATACTGAGGCGCGACATTAAACACTCGGTGAGGTGTGTTAGACGGATATTCCACTATACCCTGAGGATGTGGTATGTAGGGCTTTAAATCCACAAAACATCCCATTCATTACTGATGAAAATCTAGTGAGAATGTACTTGGGATGCAATGGGACTTTATGGCCTTACAACACCCCGTTAAGTTGTCGATAGGATCTAGCTGGGATGATCAGTGGATATATTGAAATGTGACAGTAAGCACTAGCAAACCTGTATTGGATGCTTTCAGGATGCCGAACATAGGACTTTCAACTTAAATTCTCACCAAATCCCGTGTATTGTCGATAAGACCTAGTGAGGATGTCCTGGAGATGATACTAAGCACTTAGGTGGTTATTCCCGGATATTCTGGTGATGTGAGGGGATCCAATGAGGAACATTTACATGATATACCAAGGAGTTCTTTCAGCAAAAGGGAACAGTTTCCAGAACACTGCGTCGCTAAGCTTAGAATGACAAAATGGTTTGTAAATGTGCGATCATTCCACTTTTTCAATAATACAGTTTGTTCCGGTCGTATTTGACATATCTGTATTTAAGCAATAACATAATGAAAAATATTCAAAAATGTGCTAAAATTTTATTTCTATAGCAATTATCATTTTTAAGGTACTTAAACAATGCCTCATGAAAGAAACTGAGAAATCGTTTGGTAAAAATTAACAGTGTTGCAGTTTAAATATCACAGTATGTAGGTGGATTCACCAAAAAGGTTACAAGTATCGGCATTTTAAAAGTAATTATTGTGGAAAGAATACTTTATCCCCAGAGTGTAAGCGATGGCACTACCTCTCTAGCAGCGATTGTACAGTAAGTTCGCAGACGCATCTGAGCGATTGAAATAGCAAGACGTTTAGAAAAGTGGTCTTGCTTGGAGGTGCGAGCCGTGATTCGTTGTCCTCATTGAGTACCTGAAGCGTGGCCATACTGTTACTGCCGATCGTTATTGTGCCACTTAGACAACGTTAGATGAAGCCATCTGACGCAAGCGGCCTGGCACGTTGAATGATGGTGTAATCCTCCTGCATCGCAATGCCCCGTGCTATACGGCTCGCAGACTCAAGAATTGCTGCAGTAGTTAAGTGGGAAGTCTAGCGTCATGTGCCGTCGGGCGCAGCATCCAGGGCGAGGGCCGAACTGATTTTACGAGTTTTTAGAATGAAATTATTTCCATTCTTTGCAAATAAAAGAGGGGCTCGAGGTCCTCAGTTGTTCCCGGGCGCTGAACACTCTAGCTACAACTCTGATCTAGAATGAGTTTCTCTTCACACAGTGATACATGTATACCATTCAGTTTTCCTTAGTAAGTCCTGTACGAAGGCATCCCTCCTCTTGACCCTCGAGGCTTTGCCATAATCACATAAACCAATCACACAGTGATGTGAAAACAGGCCACTGAGAAATGGCTCAATGGCCAGGAACGTAGTTTTTACAAAGCCAGGTTAAACAAGTTGGTTCTGAGTTCAGATAAATGCTTAAATAGATTTGGTTATCATGTGGTAAAATGACAGACAAGTATGCCTCTTTTATATTTTCTGTCTATTGCTAATAAATAATTTTTATAACCTTTTTTGCAGACTCACCCTCGTCATTGCAAAAGGGAAAAAGTGCAACAAATTTCAAAATGGCGTAGTAGCTCATAGTTTAAAATTTCAGATATCCTCTTTTGGAATACTGCCAACATCAGCAGCTGCGACTAATGGATTTTCTGAAGGAATGGCAAAAACTCACTTGCAAAATATTTTTACCGTTTATTAGACTCATCGCTGTCTTTCATTTTCAGTAGCTTAGAAATTCTGACCTGAATATTTCAGCACAAGCTTAGTTTCAATTAATGTAATATGTCAATGAACAGTCAGTTGCTGCAGTATGTCACGACCTGTGAGATCACTTACGTTTTTATTATTAAATATGCATTTTATTCAAAACAACGGGGAAAATTATTTTAAAAGAATTGGAAATTAATGGATATCCATTTCCATGATCTAAACAGTTTTTTATTCGACCATTTCAGTTTCACCAGATTTTAGATAAGTGAAGTTTCGTTAAGCGGGAATTTAGCATAACATGCTTTACTTTATCGTCGTGTCAAATCGTATATGACAAAAACCAAGCCATTACAGTTTTTCCCTGTTTTTCATTGTATATATATTTTCTGTGCTTTTATTTGTTGGTGCTTTAAGTTTTATATCACGCGAAAAAAAATTACAATCTATGAGACGAATAAATATGATTTTTGTGAAAAAGTACTCTCTCGATTTTTATCAAAACCAAGTATGTGATAAATATTTTAATACTATCGCGAATGTTATCCCACCTCTAAAACTGTAACTGTAACCTGGTAGAGAACTTTTAAGTTTTGATTTGAACGTAGCGCGTAGAATTTTCGCTGTACATACTGTATTGTGTAAAAATGGAAAATGTGTTTGAAACTTTAATTGTTTTATTAAATGTTTTCAAAATATTAAGTCTCTCCTGTGAAAAATCTAGATGAACCCTGGATTTTACTCATTTTCAAGATAATATTCACCATCAAAGAATCCGGACATCGAAAACGGAAGTAAGACTCAACAAAACTGAAAGCTCAAGGTGAGTAATTTCCGTTTATTTATCGAACTACTTTTTGAGTTGAACTATTCCCCCTTTTCTTTTCTTTTCTTTTTTTTTTATTATGTTAGGTTTACAGATTTGCGGTTTTCGCTTTATGGCACCGACACGCTGTTTTATCCTTGTGTTTACTATGCAAAGTTGACCACAGAATCACAGAACCATTTCTACATTAAAGAGATATAAGCTCAATGTTCAATAAACCCTGTCTTAAGTAACAAATTTTGTCTTTGCCTAAAGTTAGGTGTAGTTATTTTGGAAACTGAGAATCGCAGTCAATGATTCCTTAAAAATGTTTTGCTTATTAAAAAGCGTAACACCTGTGTACTGTTAAACATTAAATTTTGTTTCATTGTTTTATAAAATTACATCCATTTACTTTTGCTTGTGTAAATATATGTGTATTTGTTTCCCATTCGCACATCTTACATAAAAATATCAAGTGGGGTCTTATATCCGACAAAATGAATCGCATATTCTCCATTTCTATGTTTAAAACTGAAAAAGCTAGACAAAATAAATATAAAAATAACCAGGAGATCTCGTAATAGCAACTGCGGAAAACGAATGAGCTCGAAAATTATGCGGGTATGCAGGCATGTAAACTCGGTTTATTACATAACAAATAAAATGAATGAAAAAATCCCATCTGAACAGATTATAGTCTAACACCTCGTAGAAAATGTTTTAAAAATTTTTTAAATATGAAAAAATAATAAAAAATGTAGGACAACTATTTGGTTTTTGTTCTTAAATGAAAATAATATCTTTCGCTAGCAACTCGTGAAAAATTAATTGTTGAATAAAATTTAAAATAATGTTGTTTTAAAATTTTAAATTAAAAATTTGTTGTTGAATAAAATTAAAAATTCAAGAAGAATTTCCATTTTAAAAGTTTCGTCTTTTTTCTTGGCATTACCTTTTTTTGTATACAAAATGTTATAAGTAGAAATATATTTAAAAAGTATCCTCCGTTTGAACAAAATCGAAAACGTAAATACAGATGCTTGAAACGTAAATACAGATGCTTGAATTATTCCAAAATTGCATGAGATACGTTAGACTTTATTCTCCATGCAGACGACACAGTAATAAAAAGCAGAGTTTCAAAATTCTGCGACGGATCGATTAATGATTTTTATAGATACTTATTTTATTCATGATACTCATGGAACACATTGACACTCATAGCAAAATACTGGTAAAACGTTCCATGATTTTAGCTTGCTAATTGATTAACTGATGCTGCACTGGGCAACGCACTTTTATAATATTGAGGATAAATGAAGAATCACAAGAAATCTTATGCATCTTCGACTGGAAACAGCTTTCTTTTATCACTGACAAGGCTGTGAGGTTTACTTTAATTTACTTAACCAGTTATTTTATGTTTGAATCTTTACTGTCATTTCTCTATTTCCGTTTATCCGCTAAAATGCAAATTAGCTCGCGTGTATTTAAATGAGGGTTTGAGATTAATAACTCAGAACCTATTCTTCCATTGAACTCAGAACCTATTCTTCCATTGAAGGGTACATTACTAGAGTTTGCTATTCTAGATAAGAGTTTCTATCTTCAGCGTTGCTACTTACCGATAATTAAGTTCACGCCGGTGAATTCAGAACCAAACTCGAGATTAAATTATTCTGCATAGCCTTGGCTATTGATATTTAAATTAGATTTACTTCTGAATTTCTACCTAGGGTTTTCTCGCCATAAGTGCTCGCGAACTTTGTAAGCACCAGGAGTGCCTTCTGTTCATCTTATTAAATTTAAAATAAATGAAACTATTACACCCTCGAAAGACTCTGTATTTACACTCTTAGACTAAGCGATAAGTCGCTTAAAGTCAATTAAGAAAGTTAGGTTACATTTTACAATAGTAAAAGAAGTTAAACTTTATAAGGTTTTTATCGCAAAATGGACAAAATTAATGATTTTTTTTTTTTTTTTTTGGCCTTGAAGGTGTTTACTCTTTATTATTAAATAATGAAGAGTCTGTTATGCATTGTGAAAAAACGACCACCGAATTTTCAACAAATGAAGTCCTCCACTCGGTGCATCTCGAAGCCCGAATTTTGAATTTCTTATTTTTAGTCCAAAAGGGCTTTGTTCCTGAAGGACTATTGATTTCGTTTTGCAACTTTGCGTTGAATCACTATAAATGTCCGTTTCACTTTTCAAATTGTTGCCACCAAATGTTAGAGTCCTGCATTATATTTGAAGAAATTAAATAATGAAAAATCTGCATAAATGTATGTCTATTTCTCGCATTCTGATAAAACAACGGTACATAGAGCCATCGAATTTTGAATGACGTTATCCTCCTACGAATATGGGCATGTGGAAGACCAAATTTAAGATTTGGAGTTTGTTTTATTATCTATTTCATGTTTTGTAAAATTTTGACGAATTTTTGATTAATAAACTCAAGGATTTCAAAGCGAGCAATGGCAACTCTCTACGGGGGGGGGGGGAACTTTTTTATCTCCAGGGCGCGGAATTGTGTATCGGAAATTCTAAAGATAGGCTCATTTTAAAATTATTTTGCTACATTGCTATTGAACTGAATTTTATGGTTGAAGTGCAAAGAACATGATATTCAATAAATAAAGGTAATACGCAAAACATTAAAAAAGCACCCCCCCTTTGGAAGTAATTAAAAATCTAAAACCTTTCAGTTATTTTTTTATTTTATTTTATTTTATTTTATTTTTGTTGTTGTTTATTTACTTATTTTATGCTTTGCGAGACATTAGTGAAATTTTGATTGAAAAACTCATCTATTTAAAAGTTATGTGTTGCCACTCGGAAAAGCATAAGAGTATATTCATATTTTAAATCAAATCAGAAATATCAGCGACTCCTCACCCAAAACAAAAACGGAAGAATTTTCTCTTTCATATTTAACACACACAAGTTATTTAAAAGAAATGTTTTGTCACTGCCCGATATAAAATATTTTTATTTTCCACACGCCAGTATGTTGCCCTTCGGCAAATTATATTTATTTGTATTTATTTTCCAATAGAATTTCCAATAGGATTAACAAACTTAGCGATTTAAAAGCAATAAACGCAGTTCTTTATAATTATCATCACTAGCAAACACTTGAATTTACAGTAACCGCATTCATTAAAATCCTTACATATTTTTTTCTTTTTTTAAATTACTAGTTTAAGCGGCTGTCCTCACAGATAACTGGTTAATTAAAATAATGCTGCGAATATTTATAAAAACATATGAATTTGGATATAAAATATGAATATACATGGATGTGAACATTTGGATACAAAAAAACATATGAATGAGATTTATTAAAAAGAAAAATAAAGATATTAACAGAATAAGGTTATTATTGCTTAATCTTAAAGATAAGTTAAAAGATTTTATGAAAAACCAAATATCAACACTGATAATTTGGTAAGTTAGAATTAAAGGCTTTCATAGTATAGAGTGTCTAATTACATTCATACATGCATAGACAAATATATATACGTAACGATGATAAGTAACGTGACAATGATAGCAAAATGGCGGAGATTGAAAAGATTAAAAAGTTTCCAATGTCAAAAACAGTGGGCGCAGTCATTTAAAGTGGATACCTAACGATAAACACTTATCAACGGTATATGATAACACAAAGCCGTATCTCTTTCTTGGAACTAAGACTTAATTTGGAATTCAGGAAGTTGCGTAAGAACGGAAATTACGTCATGATCCAAAATAAACGATTAAAAAGTCTGATGTGGCCAGCACACGAACTCCCACGATTTCAATGCTTCAAATAGCAATCAGCTTTAAGTACCATTTCAGTTTAATCGTTTGGAAACAAAATCTAAATGCTTTTTCGGATAAACAGGAAGGTTCTGTAATGCGAAATTTTGGATTCCATTTTATTAGCTACAAGTGGCCATGCGTAAAAAACTGATTTTTAAAAATCGATATCAAGAAAATCAAATGTTTCCCTTTCATTTATATTCATTAATTTTTTTTATTTTATTGCGCAGTTAAATAACATATAATTTAACTGGTTTAAATGCAGGTGTATAATATATTTAAAATAAATACTTTGAAACTAATACCATAGTTTAATTTTCTTCTATATTATTTCTATTGTATCAACAATTCTAAATTCCTTTCGATTTGTATGTGTATCCTAGCGATATTTTAGATATCAGTAAACAATGATCGTTAGTTTTGAAATTTCTGCTAAATAATGACTACTGTACGCTCCGGGATCTGTAAGAAATAAAGCAATGGGTTGCTTTTGGATTTGCTGTTTGCTCCAGTGCTTCGTCATTAGCAACGGTGCAAAAGAATAACAAGTGTATTTTTTAGTAACATGCCTGCATGTACAAGCATTCTGAAGTTCTGAAAATGAAACATTGGTATAAAAAATCTTTCTCTTCTACAGCTTAAAATGCATACATATTATGTCTAAATATAAGAGATATATCCTTAATATGTGCTGCAATATTTTAAATTAAACTCTATACTTAGTAATTCTATATTTTCCCATGAAAATCTATTAAAAGGTCCAAGTAGAGTACAATTTAGGTTTATCATATATAAGTCAAAATCTAATATATTGTTCTTAATAATCGTATATGCATATTTGAATTTTAAATACTAAATTTAAGAAGTTGTATGTTATATAATAATACACATTTTCACGAGACGTTTTTCAGTGCTTCAAAAGTTTTGGATTATATTTTTATATAGTTTTTCATTAAAAAACTGCTATGGGCTTTAAGTAAAGCTGCATTTCGGCTTGTAAGTAAATTACCACTCCCGGCTGTCCAATTTTATACCCAATTTCCAGTGATTAATTAACTTGGCTTCAGCTACTGTGGCTTCTAGCCTTACGTGCTACAAAACACTCACCAAAATGCAGATCGGCTACAGATGGGCATCTCAAGAATAAATAGTGTACTGTACCACAGCTCCCTTGCTCTCTCTTTCTTTAAACTGCGGATTCG